CCAGCAATGTTTTCAGTGTCTGTTTATATCCTAAGCAATACTTCCCACTCTTCATTACCAGAGCAAGTCGTGCATTTATATTTTCCGTTGACTTCTTCTGCAACTTTTTAAATGCAAATGAATGCCGCTATATTGTTTCAGATTCTGCCTCTAAAAAAGTATCCCGTACAGCAAATCAATGAAACAAGCCGGCAGATGTGTGCAGCACATCTGCAGAAGTGTATCGGTAGATGTCGCATTATAAAGGTAAGTTGTGAAAAATATATTGTATGTACATTAGCTCGTAGTCAAGACTATCTAACCTACTGCAAAGCATCTGGTGATGTAGAAGCTATACACCGGAGACAACCAGTCTCCAGAAAATTTTGGAATATCGTCAAGGAAAGAACGTTTAAACAGTCCACAGCTGACTGCTTTAGTTATCAGAAAAAAATCAAAACCGCGGCACAGATATTTTTTTACTTCTCCACACAATTGCCGCCACCACCATTTCGTCTTGATGATCCATACTGGATACACGGAGTTAAACATTATATGTGATTAATTTTTTACTGTAAAGTAATAATAACAGCAACGGCATCTCTTGGAAGCGATCCCAGTGGCTAAAGTACATTATCAGCTTGGTTCACGAGAGGGAACATTCTGGATATACGGAGTTGAACATTATTGCTATGTACCACATTATCCATCAAAATGTTCTCTGATATGAATACTTTGCAACATTATTATACGATGTCTGTTTTCTAATTATTAATCAACATGGCTTTTCCAATAAAACAATGTTCTTGAGGACTGCCGTTCAACAAAGCATCGCAGGAAATTCCAGACTAACTCTCCTTTACTTGAAAGATATAGTTAGCCTGCTAGGCGTGAGATGGTAAGCGATATTTGTGGTCGAACAAAAATAAGCGTTTGGAAAGACCGAATGCGTCAAAATGCGGAACATCAAATTCGTGTCAAAGGAGTAAGAACGAATTTAAAAAAGCTTAGCGACACTTTTTATGAATCTTGCAATTAAAGTAGTGGCTAACTATATTGGCACAACAACGGAGAGTAACGCATTTAAAAGATTTGCCAAAATGCCACTTCTATGAAGATTTATACTACGGTCGTTATATTTCCTATTTCCCTTTGGAAAGGATATCCTGACAACAAAGTTGAATGTAGATTAGGTGGCTTCTCAAGCGTATAGGAGTAGACATCCAAACAGATGATTTTTTCCATTGTTCATTGTAGAAAGGGAGGTATAAATAAGCACAATCCTTTTACCAGTTCGAAATATAATTCTGAGATCAGAACTACTGGGGACATGCAAGCAGGCTCAAATGGAACAACGAATAGGGTTGCAGTGCTGACATGCAAACGAGTTTTATGAATCAGCGTCCGGCTTTTTTTGAAAACTTCGAGCTTAAAAAATTTTTAGAAAATTTGAAAAAAAATTTAAGATGCAAAACATTCAATGGTGAGATGTAATTTTATTGGAAGAATAATTTCGATACCATATATTTTTTCATATTTGGATAACGCGGCAGAGAATTCCTAGAGTTGGAAACAAAAAAGATCACTAATTTTTTGGACCCTTGTACATGTTTCTAACATAGTGATTAGGAAATTGTGGATACCATGAAGGAGGATTTTTTTGTATTAAAGGAAAGGATGAGGAATTATCCTTTTTTTCAAATGAAATTAATTTTTTGCAAAAATATTAGCAAGAGATCGAAGAAATTGAAAATACGATTTCTTCCATAACCGTATAACAGAAGTACAGGATATTTGTTTCATTTCCGATTTCCTATGGAATTTCGAGAACCGAAAACGCGAAGCACTAAGATTCCTAATAATCATTCTGAAGCAATCCAATAACAAGCTAAGCTTAAACGACACCACACAACTTGCTAAGGAGGAGGCTCATTCTCGAGTTGCAAACATTTCGTAACTATCTGTGGGAGAGGTTTTGTTGTCAGCGGAACATTGTAAGTTCTATCAGCTATATCAGTTATATCAGCGCGTTTTTTCTGAGGAATGATGATTTGGGATTTGGAGTCCTCTAAATTTCCTCACGGCGAATCAGTTGTTTTAAGCTAATGGTTTTTCAAGGAATACTCGAGTACGGATGGGATGTTTAACGTTTTACTAATTGCTCATTTACTGTTGTGTGTTGCGAGAATTATAGAAGGTGGTGATGATTCAGGACACAATAATACAACAAACACTGCACACGAAAGTTAGTTGGATTGTATTTTCATTTTCACTTCTTTTGTTTGTTTCCTGTTGTCAAATTGTCAGTTTTATATGAGGAAAGTAAAAAAGATTGCTTCTCTGTTTGAACTCTGCTCCAGTCTTTCTTTTTTTTCAGGGGGCATTTCACACTTTGTTCAGGAAGATCATAGGAATAGGAAGATCATAAGCTTCACGAGATTTCTTTGTTGTGATATGAAATAAATGATAAACGGCTTTAAAATATACGGGATAGCTACAGAGACTTAGAATAAAACACCGATGAAGTTTCTTTTCGCATGGCATTGAATGATTGAGCCTTTCTGGTTGAAATAGGCCGTGAGTAGCAATGCACGTGGACTGGTTGTTTATATCATTTTGAGAAAATCTACCCTTTTTTCTTACAGTTATGATAACAAATATGTATTGTGAATATCCGAAGGATGCTTTCGAAGTACTAGTCAAAGGGCAGTGTCCTGCTACACACCCATTTTGTGTCATCGATGTACCATTCGATGTATTGCTTAATCAGAGGTATAGATGTGCCACAGGTTAGCAGCGATTTCGCATGATTAGTTATACTTTGTGTTTAAAATGTAAATTCCAACTGTAATATCAGAATTAATTGTACCGAATCCCGCTTTCTTTTTTTTTTGTTCGCTATAGCAGAGCAATGCTTGGATAAGCCAAAACTGAGTATCTTTCATTAGTTATCAAGTATCGTTCATTAGTTAACGCACATTTAAGCACCACGTCGAGCAGATCTCATGGTACATTTGATGAATTCATCACAGTTGTTGGCACAAGTAAACAATGACGGTGAATTATATGGTGGTTATTCGAATTGTATGTTAACTGCATTTTATTCGCCAGACTGTGCATTTAGCATACGAATGGTGTCCTATCTATATCAATTGCCGCGCATGTATCCTCGATTGCGTGTTGTTGCCACCGATGCAAGAGACCATAGCAAGTAATATTTTCATTAAAAATTCAAGGTTTGCGCCATGTATGAATGACAAGCAATTTGTTCGACTATAGTTGTTTAGTACTTTAGCATTTCTAGGTTGAATAATCGATATGGGATCATCGGGACACCTACCATACTGCTGTGGGTCGATGGCAGCGTAGTTTCTCGTATGGATGAAGCACCTTTTTCATTGAAGGCGTTCAAAAATTATATAGAAAAATGGACCGACCTTGAGTTAGAATATATGCCAGTAATGGAAAACGAAAGTGGCTTGATTGAAAACATACGTAAGTTTTCTATGGTTTTTAATTATATTCAAATTTTATTGAGGCAACACATACATACACGAGCACACGCACACAATATATGCACTTTAAATTAAAATTAATCCATGAGAAATATCTATGATTATAATGTTACTAGTTTCGTTTGTTTTTTGAAATCTTACTGCTTTCGAAATATAGTTTCAGAATTTCACAAATCAGGTTTCGATTGGTATCTTTGTACGTCGTGGTGTTCTTTTGTACTAAGCGTTGCTTATTTCTTCATGAATTCTAAATACGGGCAAGCTTTCTGGGAAACAATTCGGACAAATTACATTCAAGTAAATGAGACTCAGCGATAACTTTTCTTTTTTGTTGTGTTGATAACTTGATGTATATTTTACCAGTTTTTAAGTTACTCCGTTGCTGTCATCATTGTACTGCTTTCAACAATTGTAGGTTAACAATGTTCAAATGATATGATTATTTTCGATGACTTTATGATGTTTTCCATCAAAGTTAGAGTGAAGCAAATGACTTCATGGAATTCGTTTCTTCCACTAATAACTTCTCTTCGCTAATGAAATGACTTAAGAGTATGAATTTATTAGCTTAATTCCGTTATATATTTCTAGAGCTTCCTTTTGTGCCAAACTCGGCAATAGAACTACGAGAAAAATAGCTTTCCGAATCATAGATTGTTACATAATGAATACAAAATAAGGCTTTATACCTTAGATCATAGTCGACTTTTAATTAATGGTGACATAAAAGATGTAAACTTATTGGTCGAATTGAAACGACTCATTTTTTTTCTTGCGTTTCTAAGACATAGAAAATGATCTGTAATCCCTAATTAATGGACTACTGTTTACCACTTTAATAGTTTTAAATTATTCAGTGGATATTCTTGAACATCGTTCAATGTTACATATTATTCTGAAGGCAGTTCCTCGTGTTATGGAGGGAATGCAATTTGAACACCAATAATCCGATAGATGCCTGGAAAATAAACTATTTGCACTCAAAAATAGTGTTTTCGTAAAGCGTAAGTTTGGAGAGTGTTTAGGAATGGTAAGTTAACTTTGTTGTCTGTCTTGCAGTGCTGTACCATTTATCATTTTCCGGATGAGCATCGAGTTTCTTCTCATCATCATTCACTTTGATGATGTTATAGTGCCAGGAGCAAAGTCGAGAAGATTAGAAATTCCGCTGTAGGAAGTGGTTTAGGCTAACTGTGTAGCAATATAACTATGCACGAAATTCGGAAGCGTCAGGTTTGGTGTTATTATAGCTCACGGTCACATTTCGGTATATTAGAGCATCGCTGTGAAAACACAAGTTAACCTGATGATATTAATAAAATGATTTAACTTTCAAAAAAAAAAGACAAACCTTATTGGAATTATCCAGCAGATATTTGCCACCGTCAATGAGCAGAGTCCTATTAAAGTGTTTGAAAGTGTCAGGGATGTTTGGTGGTTCAAATTTCACCATTGTATGTCTACAGCCTTCAAGTATAAATACTGTGTCGTGTACGTTGTAAAGCAGGAATAGGTTTAAACCACCTATCGTCATTGTAATAACCTCTAATTGCAAAGAGTACCTGAGTGAAAGAAGAGCTTCAATTGATCAAAATAAACATTAAAAAAAAGATAAGAAAGTGAGTAATGAAATTAGGCCATGAAGTAAGCGATTTCTTTTAGCTGAAGAAATTGCCAAATTCAATTTTAGTAATATTTAAAAAAGTATTAGAATGTAGAAGACGATTAACTTTGATGTTTTCTTTCATACTGACCGGTGTAACAAAAAGCGGCGGCTTTTTGGATTCCCTAAATTTAACGATTCTGAACGATATTGCTCAAGCTTCAGTACTATTCTTAATGTTGCTAAGATGCTGTCATCACTTGGGACACAGCTATTTCAAGGTAGTATTGAATAAACCTTTTCAATTCAAAAATTACTTTCAGCGCTCTGGTATTACAACGACGAAATTCTATTTGTAAAATAAACTAATTGTTTTAGTGAGCTTTGAACTGACAAATTTTTTCGTTCGTTCAAATGGTAATTTTTTTACGAAAAAAAGATTTGTGCAACATTAAACAATACGAACCTTTTGTTGTATCCATCACCGATATATAAATTATGTAATAATAAATAATGCTACAAGAATATGATAAGCTATCATTAAATCTGTGATGTTTAATACAACTTTCATTATACTTTTAATGATACAAAATTTGAGTGCTTCTATTATAT